TCACACCCAATTTGGGCTAATCATTTTTGTTTTTTTGGTATTCCATTTTAAGCCTCTATTGGCTTTTGACCTATACGTTCTCCCATCATTTTCTATAGGAATTGCAATATGTATCTTTATCACAGTCTACTTAGAGACAGTATTGTTCTCCTTCATGTAAAATGTGACATGTTCACAACTGCATAATTCTATTTATTATCTTCCTGTCCTTTGTGCTATTTTTTCAAATAATTTACTTCTCAATGCATCATAAAATCTACAGTGTTTTTTTAAATTATTTTTAAACAGTAAGTGTGTTCTAAAGAATTGAAAGAAATTATAAAAGGTAGTTTTTTTACTTATCCAAACCTTTTCTGTTTCTGGTGTTTTTCACTTCTTCCTGCTGGTTAATTTAATTTCCATTTTTAAAAATAATTTCTCTTCAGACTTCTGTAGCTTTGCTTCTTAATCTAAAGATCAAGTTTCTTTAATATTTCTTTAAGAGTGGGTTTGTTGGTAGTCAGTTTTTGTGTATTCATCTGTATTTCAAACTCACATTTGAAAGATTCTGTTTGCTGGATATGGAATTCTAAGTACTCTTTATTTTCCTTTCCAACATTTTAAAGATTTTGTTCTATTGTATTCTTGATACCATTATTTCTGATGAGATACCAAATGTCATGTGTGCACAATGTATCTTTTTAAGCAGCTTTTAAGATACTATTTTTATTTTTATGTATTTTAAGCAGTTTGATTACAGTATTCCTAGGGTGACATTTTGTATATTTATCCTGTTTTGGCTGTGCTGAGATTGTTACATTTGTAGAATACTGTGTTTCAACAAATTTGGGAAAATTTTGGACATTATATCTTCAAATAATTTTAATTCTCCATTATCTCTTTCTTTTCCATTGGGCTCCAGTTAAACTTTGTTAAACTGGTTGATATATTTCCACAGATTACTGACAGTCTTTTCATTTTCTTGATTTTTTTTTTCATATATGCTGTTCAGATTGAATATCTCTTCATGGCCATTTACTCTTCTGACTCTAATCTACAGTAAAACTCATCCCTTGGATGTTTATTTTAGATATATAAATATAAGATTCCTAGAATTTCTGTTTAGTTCTTTAAAAAAAGACAAACAGTTTCCATTTCTTTACTGAGATTTTCCTCTGCTCATTCATCATGTCTAAATTAAAAAAAAAATATCTTAAACCTATTTATCGTAACTATTTCAAAGTCATTGTCTGATAATTTCCACATCTGGGTTTTCTTGAGATCTGTCGGTTGATTTCCACGTCCCCTTGAATGTGGGCCACATTTTTCTGTTTCTCTGAGTTATTTCTATTTCTGTTATTTCCATTTTATTATGTTATTTCTATTTTTATTATATTCATATTATGTAATATATAACATAGAACTATATACTTAATTATTTCTATTTACATTACTGTATTTATATTATATTGGTGTTATGAGATGAATTGTGTACCATTATTTTACTCCCACCTATATGCTATGCTTATCACTACTGATTCTGTTTTTTCTTTTCTCACCCACCTATTTTTTTGTGCTCAAAATTCACTTATATACCTGCCTAGTGAATGTCCCATGGACACTTAAAATGTAAAACAAAATGTATTTTCCTCTCAATGCTTCTTCTTTCTTTCTATTAGTTAGTGGCCTTTATACAACTCAGAATTGTAGCTTTTATTTCTTATCTTTTCCCATCCTCTCATATCATAATTGATCATTGCCTTCTAAAAACATATTTCATTCAAATCCATCATGTGTTCTATGTGTTCATCCAGTAGTACTATTTAATATCAAGCCCTCATTCTTCCTTGCCTGGATTATTTTAGTAGACAGCTAGTTTTCCTTGACTTCAGCCTTGTAGCTCTTCAGACTATCTACAGTGCAATGCTAATTGCTATAATGACAAAAAATATTGGTGGCTTTATGCAGTAGAAGTTTAGTTCTAACTCATGTGAAGTCCACTGGGTGGTGGTGGGGATGATGATGTCACTGCTCCATGCAGTCACTCAGGAAGCCAGGCTGATGGGGTTTGCCATTCTCAGCCTGTGGCTCTGTGATCTCTTTGGATCCCAGGATCCTCTGCTGGATCCTTTGCATCCAGCCAGCAGAAAGGGAAGAAGAATGGAAAATGATGTATGTTTTTATGATACAAATCTAACGCAGTGTACCTTACTTTTGCATACCCTCCAGTGGTATGAGATATGTTCACACATAGCTATGAGGAGGGCAAGGAAATACAGTCTAGCTGTGTACCCAGGATGAAATGCAGTAATGAACAACTTGCCACTTTCTTCAGCAGTCTGCCCTTTAGGCAAATAAATACCCGTCTCATCCTCTTTCCATTGTTCAAACATAATTCAGCTTTTCTAAGGGAGATGGCTCATAAGTCCCTTTCAATCATTGCATTTACCATAGAGTCCACAATATTCAGATGATGGACTGATTTTAATCCTGTTTTTTACACTTGATAGTCACTCATTCTAGGCAATAAAAAGAAGTTATATCTATTCTTCCCATCCCTCAACACACACACACACACACACACACACACACACACACACACACACACTCCTTCAACATAATGAAGCTTTCATTTGGAAAGAATAAAATGGGAGATCCTCAAGTCATGGTGTATAGTAATTGCATAGTAATTTTGGAAATTGTTTTGGTGGATACTATTGCATCTCCTACCCTGAAGATAAGGGGAGACCTTTGATTACATTCTGATTATAGTTTGTGGGAAGAGCTCTTTTATCCATTGTTTGATCTCACTTCAGTATGTTCTTCCATGTCCATTATTTGACTAAGATACACGTTGAGAGACATTCTTTGAGGACTCTTATAGTGTTTCAGCCATTTCTGTAGACAGCTTCTTGCCAGTGCAAGTTTAAGATTAAATGGTCAAAAATATTTTAGTGTGAGTTTAGTTTGTTGATAATACATTTTTCTCAAATACTTAGTAGGTTTGATCTATCTGCTTTCAGATAGTTTCATGTGCCAGAAAACACATCCAAAGTTATTTCCTAAATTTAATTCTCAAGTCTGATTATTTCTTTTTTTTCTCAGTCCCCTACCTCTGTCTCAACTTAATAGTGGTGACCTTGAAGCTATCTGAGATAGTAGGCTTGATTAAAAAGACTAAATCCTTAATCTGAACTTTACTCCCATTTTTCTTTTCTCTTAAAAATTTTTTTGGCTCACTATATAGAGACTGAATGTTTGTGTCCTCCAGAAATTCATGAAGTGCTAACTGCTAACCCCCCGATGTGATGGTATTAGGAGATAATACCTTTTAGAGATGATTAGGTCATGAGTCTAGAGCCCTCATGAATGGGATCATTGCCCTGACAAAAGAGGCCCCAGAAGCTCCCTTGTTCCTTTCACCGGGTGAGGACCTGGTGAGAAGATAGCCATCTATGAACCAGGAAGTGGACTCTGACCAGACGCCAGATCTGCTGCCACGTTGGTCTTGGGCTTCCTGCCTCCAGGACAGAAATAACATTTCTGTTGTTCTTAAGTCCCCCAGTCTATTACAGTGGACTGAATGTACTAAAACAGAAACCAATACCAAGATGTAGGGGTGTTGCTCTAACAAATACCTAAAAATATGGAAGCAGCTTTGGAACTGGGTGATGCATAGAGACTGGAAGAATTTTGAGCTGCCTGCTACAAAAAGCCTGCATTGCCATAAATGGCTCATTATGGGTGATTTTGGTGAGGGCTCAGAAAGAAAAAAAAGGAGAGCTGTAGAGAAAGCCTACGTCTTCTTAAAGAATACCTAAATAATTCTGAACAGAATGTTGGTAGAAATGTGGATGGTACAGGCCATTTTGATGAGGTCTCAGATGGAAATGAGGAATATGTTACTGAAAATTGGTGGAAGGACCTTCCTTTTGATAGAGTGGCAAAAAACTTGGTGGATTTTGCTTGTGTTCTGGTGTTCTGTGGAGAACAGAGTTTGCAAGTGATGAAATTGGATATTTAGCTGAAGAGATTTCTAAGCAACGTGTTGAAGGTGCAGCTTGGTCTCTCCTGACTGCTTATATTAAATATGAGAAGAGAGAGGTGATTTAAACATAATTGTTAAGCAGCTAATAAATACAATAAATAAATTAATTAATTAAAAGATTTGGAAAATTCTCTGTCTCTATTGCAAAAAATGAGAAAGCATGTTCAGGAGAGAAAACTAAGGGTTTAGCCAGGCAATCCTTGGATAAGGAGGTGAAGATAGACATGAATCATGGGCCTAATCAACCATGTCAACAGAAGCCAGGTTTTATTTCTCTACTGGGGAAGATGATCCCAAAACTGTCTCAGGGATCTTCAGGGCTGCCTATTCAGTTTCAAAAGAAGGGACCAATGACTCACTTTCAAGAAGCCAGATAACCTCTGCCCAAAGCATTGGAGGCAGGGCCTCTAGAGTCTTGGTGCCCAGTCCCTGCCCGACGAAACTGCAAGGCAGGACACCTACCCAGGTGTGTCCAGAAAGTGAGACTGCTCACTTCAGTATGTTTGGATGGCAGGACCTCCATTCCAGTGGTCCTGGAGGAAAGGCAGAGAGCATCAAGCCAAAGAGAATTATTCTTAAGCCTTAGGATCTCAAGGAGTTTGCCAGGTAGTTTGGACTTACTTGGGCCCTATTACTCCTTACTGCTTTTGGAATGAGAATGTTTGTTCTTTGCCTAACTGTTGTAGTTTCAAAACACATAACTGGTTTGGTTTCACAAGCTCACAGCTGGAGAGCAATTGGCTTCAGGATACCTTGAATCTCAGCCATATCTGATTTAATTGATATTTAGATGAGACTTTGATTTTAGAATTTGGAGTTGATGCTAGAATGAGTTAAGACTGTTGGGGTTGTTGGGCGCCTGGGTGGCTCAGTTGGTGAAGCGACTGCCTTCTGCTCAGGTCATGATCCTGGAGTCCCGGGATTGAGTCCCGCATCGGGCTCTCTGCTCAGCAGGGAGTCTGCTTCTACCTCTGACCCTCTTCCCTCTCATGCTATCTCTCATTCTCTCTCTCTCAAATAAATAAATAAAATCTTTAAAAAAAAGAAAAATACTGTTGGGGTTGTTGAGATGTAACAAATATATTTTGCATGTGAGAAGAACAGGAATTTGGGGGAACTAGGGATAGAAAGCTACAGGCTGAATATTTGCATCCCCCCCCCCCCACCAAATTCATATGTTGAAATTATAACCCCAGTGTCATGATTAAGTCATTAGGTTCGAGCTCTCATGAATGGGATCGGTGTCTTTATTTTTAATTATTTTTTAAAGATTTTATTTATTTATTTGAGAGAGAGAGAGAGAGCATGAGAGGATGAGAGGGGAGAGCGTGAGAGGGGAGAGGGTCAGAGGGAGAAGCAGACTCCCCGCCGAGCAAGGAGCCAGATGCGGGACTCGGTCCTGGGACTGGGGGATCATGACCTGAGCTGAAGGCAGTCGCTTCACCAACTGAGCCACTCAGGCGCCCGGGATCAGTGTCTTCATAAAAGAGACCCTGGAGAGATCTCTTACCCCTTCCATCTTGTAGAGAGACAGTGAGAAGACAACCATCTATGAACCAGGAAGCAGACTCAAACCAGACACTGGCACCTTGGCCTTAGACTTTCCAGTCTCCAGAACTGTGAAAAATAAATTTCTGTTGTTTATAAGACACTTAGTCTATGGTATCATGTTATAATAGTCAAAATGGGCTAAGACACAGCTTCATCTATTACTGTTTGGGATCTAGAAGTACTCTTTTTTTTCCTAACCCTACAAAGCTGTGAAAATCCATATTCCATCATTGTTTTACTGTTTTGTTTCTAAACTAAACAGTTCTCACATAAGCTGTTCCTTGTCTTCTAAAAACTACTGACCAATGAAGCAGTGTCATATATTCAGATTTTTGTTGCAACCCAACTTCCAAGTGCCAATATCTCTTACCTAGGGAAGTAGTACTAGCTACTGTAACAGATAAATCCCCAAATTCCAGTGGCTTAATGCAATAAAAGTTTAACTCTTGCTCACAATAAATCCAGTGTACACAGTGGAAAAAACTCTATTCATCGGGACCCAGACTGCAGAGATGAAAAGCTTCACCATATTTGGCAAGCAACTAGCTTGTCTCTGCCAGTTTTCTTTCTGAAATGCAACTCTAATAATATCATTTTCCCTGTTGAAATCCTTCCTATGAATCCCTTATTACATTGAGAATAAAATCCAAGCTCCTTCCCATGCCATACAAAGATTACTTTGTTTTGAACTTTCCTACCTCTCACACAAACTCTATGCCCAGGGGTATATCCTTGCTTAAATGTGCCTGCATTTTCAATCTAATTTCCTTATCATGTAATGTTCCCTGTTTTTGGAATTCCCTTCTCCATTACCTCTAGGCCCTGTCATATCCATTCTGCAGAATCCCATTCAAATGTCACCTCCTCTTGATGGCTTCCCTAAGCCCACATTTAACAGAGATAATCGACTGTGTAATGCCTTGAAGTTAATTATTATTTTATGCTTAACATGATGCATCCTATACATTTTTGTAATATCTTCTTGTTCAGCCTTGTACAAAATCTAAAATGACATTTTCCTCGATACCTAGTACAGTGCCTATAGTGAAAGCAGCCAAAAATATGTGACTGAAATACATTGCGTGCTTAGCACTTTCTGAGACACATTAGAGTAGCAGTTACTCATTTTGAACCAGAAGTTTTAATATTCTTAAGAACTATGAATTCAAATGACAGTGATTCAGAGTACTTAGCTTTATAAATATAAATAACCATTTGTATTTTTCTGACTCCATGATAATCTTTCTTGAAATTCAGTCCCCTTTTTTGTTTGTTTTTCAGAATAAAAGAAGTCTTCATTTTTTTGTTACATTGGCTTTCATTTTCTGATAAACTGTTAAATTTAAAGATATTTATGTCATGATAAATATTTGCATATATAATGTATATGTATAGTTTTTATTTTATTGACGTGTACTTGACATACAATATTATAATAGTTTCAGGTATACAACATAGTGATTCAGTATTTATATACATTACAAAGTGATCACCATGATAAATCTGGTTACCATCGGATGGGTCAGCATACAAAGTTGTTACAATGTTATTAACTCTATTTTCTATACTGTACCTTTCATCCCCATGCCTTACTTATTTTATAACTTGAAGTTTATAACTTTTATTTTTTTAAGTTTTTATTTAACATACAGTGTAATATTAGTTTCAGATGTACCATATAGTGATTCAGTATATCACTTCTATACATCACCCTGTGCTCATCACAACAAGTGCTCTCCCTAATTCCCATCACGTATTTGACCCATTCCCCCACCTACCTCCCCTCTGGTAATCATCAGTTCTCTATAGTTAAGAGTCTGTTTCTTGGTTTGCCCCCCTCTCTCTTTTTTTCCCTTTTGCTCGTTTTGTTCTTAATTCCACATATGAGTGAAATCATATGGTATTTATTTTTCTCTGACAAATTGTTTCACTTAGCATAATACTCTCTAGCTCCATCCATGTCACTGCAGATGGCAAGATTTCATTCTTTTTATGGCTGAGTAATATTCCATTGTATATATTTACCACCTCTTCTTTATCCATTCATCAATCAATGGTCACTTTGTTTCCATGTCTTGGCTATTACAAATAATGCTGCAGCAGTGAATATAGGGGTGGACATATATTTTTGAATTAGTGCTTTTGTTTTCTTCAGGTAAATACCCAGAATTGGAATTGCTGGATCATATGGTATTTCTATTTTTAATTTTTTGAGGAAATTCATACTGTTTTCCACAGTGGCTGCATCATTTTGCATTCCCACCAACAGATCATGACGGTCCCCTTTTCTCCATAAAGATGAATTGACTGTATAGGCATAGGTTTATTTTTGGATTCTCTTTTCTGTTCCATTGATCCAGGTGTCAGTTTTTAATGCTGGTACCATACTGTTTGGATTACCATAGTTTTGTAGTATAGTTTGAAATCAGGGAGTGTGGTACATTCAGCTTTATTCTTCTTTCTCCAGATTACTTTGGTATTCAGGGTATTTTGTGATTCCATACAAATTTTAGGATTATTTGTTATAGTTCTGTAAAAAATGCCATTGGTATTTTGATAGGGATTGCACTGAATCTGTAGATTGATTTGGGTAGTATGGACATTTTAACAATTTTAATTCTTTTAATTCATGAGCACACTATATCTTTCCATTTATTTGTATCATTTTAAATTTCTTTTAGTAGTGTCATAGTTTTCAGAATACAGATCTTTCACCTTGGTTAAATTTATTCCTTGGTATTTTATTCTTTTCAATGCAATCGTAAATGGGGTTGTTTTCTTAATTTCTCTTCCTGCTAACTCATTATTAGGGTATGGAAATGCAACAGCTTCAGATATTTTGATGGGATTTTTGAAGTATTTTTTTCCCTTTTCTGAATGTTTTAGGTAAGTAACTTCAAGTTAAGAATAGGGCTGGATTTGGCTGAAATTTGGTTATGTTGGAATTTAATTTCGTAAATACATTAATCTGGCTTCTGCTATGTGTGAAGAACTATGTTAGTATCTTAGCGGGATAAAATTGAATAAGATGTACTATTTGCTGCCTTCATGCAACTGTAGTGAAGACCGTATTGCATTAGAGAATTATAGGGCAAGAGTGGCCTCAGCTTTTGGTATTTTCAGAAATGATTTTCTGTGGCTCATGCTTTTAATTTTCCACCTGCAGAATGTTAATTACTTGGATTTTCACCAATTACTTAGGTGCCATGTAACAAATATTTTCCTTTAAAACTATCCTTATCAGAGATTGAGCTTCTTAGTTTTCATCCCCAAATTAGTGCTGACTAAACCCACAAGTTAAATATTGAAAGGACAACACTGTGATTCTTTTCTCTAAAGCGTCCATGTCTGATGGTATGTGATAGAAGGAAGGTATACTTTGGATTCTAGAGACCTGACTTTACTTTCCAACTTCTTCCTTAGCCAACTGTGTACTGTGTGAGGGAGTGAGTCACTGAACCTCTATTTTATTATCTTGAAAATTCAATGAACAGTGACTAAGTTATAATAAATGAAATAATATATAAAAATGCAATGCATATATTCCAAAAATATTAGAGATTTTTGAAGGCTGACAAGTCAATTCCATTTTGGAATTAGCATGAAATAGATGTTAAATATATGCATAAATGAATATTAAATAACAAAAAAATTCTTGGTCACATACTTCTGGTTTCTCCTCTAAGTGAGAAATTGCTCATCAATAAATGTTCTTTGATTTGTGATATTTTCTTGATAGGCACAAACATTACATACAAATAAATCACACATAGCTTTGTTTTTTCCTTCCTTTCTGGGGGAATATGCTACAGACACATATCTGGTTTATTGGAAAACATTTCTATGTTAGAGGGTACAATAACTCCTGATTGACCATGCTTCATTCTTTTCAAAATATATACAATGTGCCCAGTGCAATCTTTTGAAATAACCTGTATGAACCAGAATTCTTTAATGACTATCTCCTTTGGATTTGTTTTTGCACATGACATCAAACATGTAAAAGAAAACTAGGTAATTATTGAATCAGTTAATCAGAAATGAATAGTAACTGTTCAGGAATATTAAGTTTATTTTTCTGTTACGTATAAATTATATAAATTATGATGAAATTGACATTGGGAATACTTAATTAACATTTCTGTTCTTCTTTGTATTTTCCAACCTATATGATTGTATTTAGCCATCACAACAACCAGGCAAGAAATATTTTCTCCTAATGGATGAAGAAACATATATTTAAAGAGTCCAAGTTATTTTTTAAAAATTGCAGAGAGGGAAAATTGTAGTATAAAGAATCAAACTCATTTCTTCTGGCTTCAATATTTAAACAAAACAAAACAAAGAAAGGACTTCAAAAGCTAACACCAGGAAGAGACTGGTACTCTCATTCCCTGAGGCTTCGAAGATGAAGACTAAGTCCTGCCAATTCTAACTGTCTCATTTATTCAAAGAGCTAGAATAGAAAGCTCAGAAATCTTTGGGGACCCACTCCAAAGGCACCGAATTTGGCACTGAAAGCATCCCGAAAGCACAGATTGGAGCGGGAGCAAGGAAAAGGAAGCATTTGCAGTATACCACTTGTATTTTAAGGCCTTTTTCTATTATGGTTTTATTAAAGTGTTTTCAGTAGCTTCAAGGATCAGGATAAACTGAAGCACACAGGCTTTTGGGATAGGGGTTATGGCAAGTTGAAGTTTGGCCTATGGATACCAAAAGCATCTTCCTGTGTTGTAAAAATAATAAAAATGAGTCAGATGAGGCATTTGGGAATAGTAAATCTAAGGTCTGTATCTCTGCCAAAAGATGCAATAGAAACAGCCACATCTCTCCCAACTCTGCTGTTTGCCTTGTTGTTGCCAAATTCACCAGTGTAATGTCCATTAAAATAACATCTTTGAGAAAATAGCACAGTGTCAGTGTTGTCTATGGGAATGAGCAAAACAGAAAGAAGAAAATGGCACTTGTGACAATCTCTAACCGAGTAACTATGGGGAATCAGAACTTCTAAAAGAAAAAAATCCATCATAAGAAGATGGGTAAAAGTAAGCAAACTATCTCAGATCAAAATATAAAGTCTAATCACTGAAGGTAACCCACAGCTCAAAGACGAAGAACGAAATGGATCACCATCTCATTGATTTATGACCCAGTTATTTTCTTGATTGTTTAAAGCCATAGTATAGAAACTACTGTGCATTAATGTGTGATGAGAATACTCACTCATGACCTGATAGGCTCTCAGTTCAGCATGCTCTGACTTTTCAAAATTGGTCGCATAATCGTCACATGTTAGCGGAGTCCTGTCTTAGCCCTATAATCCATTCTTTCCTGAAAAAGCAAGATAAGGAGATTTGGCTTAGTAATTTATGACATCAGTGATGACAACTTGCTGTTGGATCTGCCCTTGTCTTCCTCAGAACTGTCATCCTCTCTGGTTCCCCAGTGACTGAATTCTTCTGAGTTTCTGCTCTTCACTGTAGCCCTGCTGGGACATCTTTGGTGTGTGCCTCTGACCATCGATCCTCCTCCACAAAAACGCATCTTCCATTTGGACATGGCTTAGGATTTTGACAAATTTTTCTACACATATTCCATTTTTCAAACAACATTTAAAAACATTCTCTATTTTCTACACCACAGACTGTGCTTCTATGACCTGATGTTAGTGTGCTCCTTTAGACTGGGTTTTCTTCTCTCCACTCTGACCTTTCACAAGATGACCACACGAGAGAAACCTTATTTCTGATCTCCTAATATACAGGTGATGGAGGGATGTGTGATCCTTGAACAGTAAGACAATACTTGGCTGGGCCAAGGGGCCACAAGGTGCCTAGATATTTGGTCAAACATTATTTCTGTGGGAGTGTTTGGATGAGATTAACACTTAATTTGGTGGACTTTGAGTAAAGCAGATTGCCCTTAGAATGTTGGTGGTGGTTCTCATCCAGTTGCTTAAAGGCCTGAATGAAAAAAAAGTACTGGCCTCCCCTAAGAAGAGAGGATTCTCCAGCAGGCTGCAACATCAGCCCTTCCTGGGACTGTCTTCAGACTCAAACTGGAACATTAGCTCTGCTGGGTCTCCAGCCTGCTGGGCCACCAGGCTGGACTTGATTTTGAACTTGCCAGATTCCATAGTCATGTGAGCCATTTTCTTAATACATCTTTTTGATCGCATTTTCTTTAACAAATCATAAGATTATATATAAAAGTCTCAACAGAGTTCAAGTATTCATGTCACATAGAACACTAGTGTGTATTATATATTGTCATCTATACATTTTTTTCTAGTTCAAAATTTTGTCTCTATTAGGGAAACTGCAAATAGGACATCTAACAAGTTTGTAATTTCATTCATTGATATTTCTTATTACTCTCTACTTTTTCTAAGTTCTCACCTACTCATTTCATTGATTTTTTATAAATAAAAATTATATATATTTAGTTTGCTTAATGTGACATTTTGATATATGTATACATTGTGAAATTATTACTACAAACAAGTTAACATATCTATCACCTCACATAATTACCCTTTTTTTTTATGGTGAGAATACTTGAGATCTACTGTCTCAGCAAATTTCAGGTATACATCACATTATTATTATAGTCACCATGATTGAAGTTGTACCCAGTGATTCACATCTCCCTTTCATCCCCACCCCCTGAGCCCTAGTAACTATGTTACCACACTCTGTTACTATGAGTCCATTTTTTTTTTTTTTTAAGATTCTACATATAAGTGAGGTCATGCAATATTTGCCTTTTTGTGTCTGGCTTATTTCATCTAGCATAATGGCCTCCAGATTCATCATGTTGTTGCAAATGGCAGGATTACCTTCTTTTTAAAGGCTGAATAATATTCTCTTCTCTCTCTCTATAGAACATAACGTAATAGAATATATACATAAAGTACAATATATATTCTATATATATACATATATATTTACTACAGTTTTTTATTCATTCATCTGTTGATGGATACCTAGGTTATTTCCATGTCTTGGCTACTGTGAATAATGCTGCAGTGAACTCAGAAGTGCAGATATCTCTTCTGGATGGTGGTTTTATTTCCTTTGGATATTTACCTAGACGTGGGATTTCTGAATCATATGGTAGTTCTATTTTTAATGTTTTTGAGGAAACTCTATACTGTTTTCCATAATAGCTGTACCAATCTGTTTTTACCAGCCGTGAACAAGAATTCCCTCTTCTCTGCATCCTTGCCAACACTTACTATTTTTTTGACTTTTTGATAATAGCCATTCTAACAGGTGTGAGGTGATATCTCCTGTAGTTTTGATTTGCATTACGCTGATTATTAGTGGTGCTGATCATCTCTTCAAATACCTGTTAGCTATTAGTATGTCTTCTTTGGAAAAATACCTATTCTTGTACTTGACCCAAGCTTATTTGATTTTTGCAATTGAGTTATATGAGTTCCTTATGTATTTTAGATATTCACCCCTTATCAGACATCTGATTTGCAAATGTTTTCTTCCATCCTGTAGGTTGCCTTTTCATTTTGTTGATTGTTTCTTCTGCTGTGCAGAAAATTTTTGGTTTGCTATAGACTCATTTATTTTTGCTTTTCTTGTCTATGTTTTGGTGCCAAATCCAAAAACTCATTGCCAAGACTAGTGTCAAGGAGTTCTGTCTTATGTTTTCTTCCTGGACTTTTATGGCTTTATGCTTTCAGGTTCTTTTCTATTTCTGCAAAAAATGCCATTGAAATTTAAATAAGGATTGCATTAAGTATGTAGATCATATTGGGTGGTATGGACATTTTAACCGTATTAATTTTTCTAATCCATGAGATGTCTTCTATTTAATTGTATCTTCTTCAGTTTCTTTAATAAATTTTATAGTTTTTAGTGTACAGATCTTTCACCTCCTTGGTTAAATTATTCCTAAATATTTTTTTCTTTTTCAGATTGTTTGCCATTAGTATATAGAAATGCAACTTGTTTTTATATGTTGATTTTTGTATCCTACAGTTTTATTGAATACGTTTATTAGTGTTAATAATATTTTGGTGGAATCTTTAGGGTTTTCTATATGTTAGATCAAATCACCTGCAAACAGATAATTTCACTTTTTCCTTTTCATTTAAGATGCCTTTTATGACTTATTCTTGCCTAACTGCTCCAGCTGGGACTTCCAGTAGTATAATTAAAGAGAAGTGGTAAGAGTGGGTACTCTGTTGTGGTCCTAATCTTAAAGGAAAAGCTTTATGCTTTTCACCATTAAGTAGGATGTTAATTGTAGGCTTGTCATATATGTAAATATATATGTTTATTGTTGCCATTGAATCAATCCATAGCTCTTTAGGCTCAAAAGGTGAAAAGGATATCAAACAAATGCTAGACAGCATTAACAAAAGTTTTTCAGACTCTTGGTCATCAAGTTCTTACGGTTCACATTGAATCAGAGATTAGACATTTTTGATTACCCAGGTACCTCCAAGGAAACTGAAAACTGTCTAGTAGCTCCTGAACTCTTGTAGATGGATGGTTAAGTACGAAAACACTGGTTGCGCGCGCGTGCATGTGCACACACACACACACACACATATACACACACACACACACACCTTCTATATCTAATTTGTTGAGAGTATTTATCATAAAGGGATGTTAAATTTTGTCAAATATTTTCTTTTTTTAAAATATTTTATTTTATTTATTTAACAGAGAGAGCACACAAGCAAGGAGGGGGGCAGCGGCAGAGGCAGAGGGAGAAGCAGACTCCCCGCTGAGCAGGGAGCCCTATGCGGGGCTAGAACCCAGGACCCTGGGATCATGACCAGAGCCAGAGGCAGACACTTAACCGACTGAGCCACCCAGGTGCCCTCAAATGTTTCTTTCTGTACCCATTGAGGTAGTCATATGATTTTTTTTTAAAGATTTTATTTATTTGAGAGAGAGAGAATGAGAGAGAGAGCACATGAGAGGGGGGAGGGTCAGAGGGAGAAGCAGATTCCCTGCCAAGCAGGGAGCCCCATGTGGGACTCAATCCAGGGACTCCAGGATCATGACCTGAGCTGAAGGCAGTCGCTTAAACCAACTGAGCCACCCATGCGCCCAGTCATATGATTTTTGATTTTTATTCTTCATTTTGTTAAAGTGGTATATCACATTTATTGATTCATATGTTAAACCACCCTTGCATCCCAGAGATAAATGATAAATCCATTTGATCATGATGTACAATCATTTTAATGTGCTATTGAAATCAGTTTGCTAGTGTTTTGTTGAGGAATTTTGCATTTATCATCATGAAAGACATGAGCCTGTCATTTTCTTTTTCTTGTAATGCTGAGATATCTGCTGATACTCTATTGGGGGTTCCCTTGTATCATGATGAGTTTCTTTTCTCTTGCTGCCTTCAGAATTTTCTCTTTGTCTTTGATTTTTGACGATTTCATTATAATGTGCCTTGGTGAAGTCCTCTTTGGGTTGAATCTGTTTGGAGATTTTATGAGTTTCATGTAATTTAATGTCCATACCTCTCCGCGGATTTGGGAAGTTTTTAGACATTATTTCTTTAAATATACTTTCTGCTCCTTCTCTCTCTCTTCTCCTTCTGGGACTTCCTCTTAATACATATATTGCTCACTTGATGGTATCCAACTCTTTTTCATTCTTTTTTCTTCTTTGCTCCTCTAAATGTGTAATTTCAAATGATCTGTCTTTGCGTTTACAGTTTCTTTCTTTAGCTTGATCAAGTCTGTTATTGATACTTTTACATTTTTCTTTTCATTCATTATATTCTTTAGTTTCAGAATTTTTTTGTCCTTCTTTATAATTTGTACCGCTCTGTTTAAATTCTTACTTTGTTCATGTATTGTTTTCCTGATGTTATCGAGTTATTTATTTGTGTTCTCCAGTAGCTCCCTGAGCTTCTTTAAAACAATTATTTTGATACTTTGTTAAGCAATTCATGGATCTCCATTTCTTTGGGGTCCATTAGTGGAAAATTATTGTGGTCCTCTCATGGTGTCATGTTTCCTTGATATTTCATGTTTCTGGTAATTTTTCTTTAATGCCTGTATATTCGATGAAGCAGTCACCACTCTTAAGCCTTACAGACTGTTTATTTACAGGTGAGCGTGAAGGACCAGCTGGGTGAGGTGCAGCAGTTCTGCTTCCGAGAAGGGTACAGCAGCTGAGCTCAGTGTCAATGAAGATTGCAATGGCCTGTGGTGGCCAAGACTGGTGGGATCTGCAGCAGTGGCTAGCGCGGTTAGGTGTTCAGTGGCAAAGGCTGCTGCAGTCCTCCTGATGTTCTTTTTATTCCATGGAAGTGGTCATGGCTGAAGTGTTCTCTCCTAAACCTGGGTCCAGTTTGCAGGCGCACTTGCAGTGGCAAAGGTCCCAGGACCTAATGCACAGGCACCTGAGGAGTGGCCACAGAACTAACATCTGGAGTCTGAATGCCCTTGGAGCAGCCATGTAGCTGGGATCCAGATTGCAGGCTTGCCCAGTTGCCCCAGGGTCAGAGGCGTGGGCAGTCTCACCATGGCAGTGGCTTCGGTGTCAAGGTGCAGGTGTTTTACAAAACGGCCATGGAGCCAGGGTCTAGGATGAGAGCTAGCCCACAGTGGTGGGGGCTTCAGAGTCTAAGATGTGAGAGTGCTTGAAGTGGCTGTAAAACAGTCTGAGGCATGTACGGGGTTGGGAGGAGGTGGCCCTGGTCATTGGATCTTACCACAGCAGCGGCTTCTTTGGATGAGGGGAGTGGTGTTGCAATGTCAGCCACTTTAGGGGTCAGTGGTGGTGATGATGATTGATTTTCTTAGTGGGGCAAGGTGCTGGTGTCCTCTCCAGAATAAGCTTATGGGGTTCATACTGGTGAACATGATGTGGTCCTCCAGGGTGAAGAATATGGGGAACCCACAGCTGCTAGCTGCCATGAGGGCTGTTGAGGTCCTCAGAGGTAAAGGCTGCCAGGGTCCTCCGCACAGTAGGCTACTGGGGACCAGGGTGGCACCTGCAATGCAGATGATACTGATAAACCCTGCCCTTTTTCTTTGTTTTTAGCCAACTCCAGACATCTCAGCTCTGCCAGTCTCTCCAGCAGCCCTTTCTAAGCAGTTCTCTGTTTTTGCTCCATTGTGTTGCTGCAGCAGGTTCAAAGTGGTTTCTTAAGCCCTCCTAGGGCTATTTTAATTCATGGACCGCTGTCTGATGGTTGTTTTAAATGGGGGCACAAAGGCTGGTATCTCCTACCCCAACATCTTGCTGATATCACCTCTGATTTTTTATAGATACATGACAATGAAATGCACTTAAAACAATATCCAAAATATTACCAAAATATCACAATACCCAGAACTCTTATTTTTTATATTTAAATATTACCTCATTTGTAATTTAAAATATACATTTGAATTTAGAACTCCAAGCTTTTATGATCCTAAATAGTTCTGTTAAGTGTTTATAATTTCTGATAAATTATTACAAATTTTCCCCTAGCAATATTTTTCTTATATTTGATAAATGTTAATACATAGGGATAGGATTGGTTATTTGATAAATATCCTTTTATTAATGCTTTGATTTTTTTAATCTAGGAGTGTCCTTAATTCTTTTTTTCATTTTCAGGTAACAGGGTTTTCATTTGATTCCAGTATTTTTTGTGATTTCTGGTTTTGTTGCGTTGATTTACTATCTAAAGTACTATCTGATCAGTGTTTTAGATGTTTAACAAGTGTGTTATACTCTTAACACTAATATTAGCACTGTAATAAAAATGAAGCCAAAAGTAAAATTGAAAACAGGTGGAAAAACTTTTTAAAGATAAAGTGTATTTATTTTTACCTCAGGGGGGTAAAATTGGCTTATATTTATGCAAATAACAAAACACAAAAATATCAAATATAAAGACATAAAAGTAAATGACAGGAATAAGATGCTATAATAAGCATCTTACCTCACCATGTAAGCTCATGAGACAAAAAGTAGATAAAAAATGAATAATGGTGAAGAGGATCTAATTGATATAGCCATGAAACTAGTAGTGGTAATTCGCATAAACTGTTACTTTTTATGGAGCAATTTTGTGGTTACTTTTGACAATTTGAGACTTAGATATAACACCAAAGAAATAGTGCCATGCAGGCGGGTAATCATTGATGCCTAACTATTTAAAAAGTAGTATAAATAGTTTGTCTTTGTCAGGCACGGACTAACTGATGTGCCGGCGTATTGCTTTAAGGGCAGACTCAAATAGAGACCAGACTATTTCTGAGAGAATTAGGACAGAGGACAAAAAATGGTTATATAACATAGACTTTGGACTTGGTGGCATAATACAGAATTAGAAAATTTTTGTGGGATATATAATTAGAATGTTTCCCAGCAGCAGGGGTAGAGTAACATTATAAACAAATACAGTGCATCGTTCATCTCTTGGACATACCACCATATTATTAATAAAAGGCTTATTAATAAAAGGTTTCATGTTCGGGGTGCCTGGGTGGCTCCATCAATTAAGTGTGGGACTCATGATTTTGGCTCAGGTCGTGATCTCTAGGTAGGTCCTAGAGATTGAGCCCTGCCTGGGCTCTGTGCTCAGAGCAGAGTCTGCTTGAGATTCCGCTGAGATTCTCTCTGCCCCTCTACCTCCCCATGCATGTGTGTGCGTGTCTGCTCTCCCTCTTGCTCTTTAAAATAAATAAATTAATTAAATAAATAAATAAGTCAATAAATAAAATCTTTACAAAAAAGGATTAATGTTCACAAGGAAGAATATTGAGGAAATTACCCATTTTTCAGTATCACGTTTAGATTATGCTTCTTGAAATAAGACCCATCATTCAAAAAATGTTTCTTGTGTGTTTTCTAAATACTGGACTCTACACGAAGCAGACCAAAGCCTTGCACTTTTGGAAATTGTGTTTTCAGTTTGGGTAAGGTTGGGAAGATGAAAAATAGAAAATATCCAGTTTGAAACAAATATTGTATAAGTATGTATTTTTCTTTAAATTAGCACGAATCATTTCTTATGCTGTATCTGTTTTAATTATATTTTATTTTTATTGAATAAATCTTCATATCTTTCAATTTTAGCCAATTTCTGAAATCTTTATTACTCCTGGGGAATTGATTTCGTGAAATTGGTTTATCTCTAAGTTTTTATTTTAGGGGATATTTTTGTCATTTCTAGGCCTTCCCCTCTTTCCTCCCTTCTTTCTCTTAAATAAAAATTCAGTTACTGAATTTCAACAATCAGTATAAATTATATTGATTTTTGATAATTTTATGAGATTTTTAAAATGGATTTAGGAGGTTATTTTTGAATTCCATGATTTTTCCTGAAGCTCTGTGGATTTGGAGTTTGATTCCTATTTTGTTTTCCACAGGAGACTGCTGTGAGTGAAACCAAAGAAGTGGTATCAAAGGTCAGCGTTTTAGGGAACGAGACGCGTGAGGCAGATATATTTTAAACATTTTGATGCTTCTCACACTGCACCTTAACACCCTGCTATATTATCGACAGCTCGTATGGGCAAAGCAGTTTGTCTTTGTTGTAGTGGTGGTGGTCTGTGTTGGTGACAACAGGAACATAATGACACAACACGCCTTTGTCATAATACTGAACCATGTGAAGTTACTGTGGTTTGGTGAACATTCTGGAGCATTACAATAAGAAAAACTCCACGTACCACAATCTTGTCAAATGCTTTTTCCTTTAATAAGATTTCCTAAAAAATGCATTTTATAGCCATTTGATGAAATGGCTATGTGACATTTAAAATTCAAACGCTAAAATAGAAAGCTTGTCAACTTACTGTTTTGATGGAAATTTGTATATATATTTACTGAAATACAGGCACAACATATTTTCCATGTTATCTCTTAAATTTTTTATATAGTTTTGGGTATAGCAGCCCAATACTAATTGTTACGTTTTCTAGGAAACTGCTTCTTTATAGTTACAATTGCCTAAATCACTTGAAATCAGTGTATTTACAAAAAAAATATATACATTGTATGACAAACAAAAAAACTGGGAACAAAATGGTGTATAGATAGAGATATATAACCTAAATTAATATTTTTAATGGCTTTTTAAAATATATTTATATTTTTGTTTGCTAATTTTCCCTGGGAATTACATCTCTGCAACTTAGGAAGCTGGAATTTCTTCCCATTAGAGATACAGTAATAACTTTGTAATTAGTGAAATCATTGTCACACTGCATAATCAGCTCATTGAACACATACATTATAGTAAGAAAAAATAATAAAAAATCCTTGATAGTAACATAACTGTCCCATTAAAGTCTTGATTAACTTTATAACAATAATGTAGTATCATTTTACTTTTATAAATTAGCAGACAAATTGGAAATATATCAAACAATGCTTCTGTATCTTTACAGAAGGGAGGGATGCTTAATTAAAATAATATAATGCTGGCAACATTAATTTCTTATTGTGGGGATTTAGCAACTCATTTCAGAATGTGAGGCCAAAATTATATTTCAGCAGTTTTATGTTAAATGTTTCAAGGAAAGCCATACGGCCCCTGGGCACTGCATGACAGACAGTCGTATCAGAAACAATTGATGTGTGTAATGACAATTGCAAGCATCCTTTCCAGATGAGCTGACCCACCCTGATTCCACCCTGCTGCTCCTGTTTGGTCAGCAGGTACCTTTCACCATCTGTTTCTCTCTTAGCAGCTGAATTGTTTCTCTTATTGTGCACCTAGATGGTAAAGCATGTTGGATATGAAATATGGCTTGTAGGTCATGGGATAGTCTAAGTATTTCTGTTTAATTTGGAAAGACTAATTTTAGCTTTCAATGCATTTTCCTTTGGTGGTAGGAAAAGAGTTTTTATTCTGAGCGTAATCAGACCAAGGCATGTAAATTTTTAAGAGGGACTGTACAAATAATTATAGAGATTGCTGTAATTTGCTGTTTGTATTATTAACATCCTTAGGACGATATAATAATCATTCCTTCTAACTAAGTACTTTGCATGATTACTAAACTGGCCATGAAAACTATAGAGCCTCCGAGAAAACATGTACACTGTTGGCTTAAAATCTCGACATAATTTTTGTATTGTTATCGTATGACTTCCCAAAAGATCAAAACTTACATTGTTTTTTAAATCTTGTATTGAAATTTATTAATATTTTTATATTTTAATAGAGCCCCAATTTTTAATATTATATTCAGGAGATTACATTTATGCCTCTTTGAAGCAGTTCTGCTCCTCTTGGTTTTGGGGGAATGGGAGATAAGAAATTAAGTCATGCTAGGATTCTTCTAGAGAGTGATGTGTAGGGGCATATGCAACAGATGGGAAGAGAAGCGGTTTATTCTTGAGAGAAGAAGGAAGAGCAGCTGAAATCTGAACCTAGTCATTATAATCCGTTTTTCCAAAAACATTCAATACTCTGACAAACTATTATTTCTAAAATGTGATTTTCATCACATTTCTCTCTATTTATCTTAATGTAATGTTAATGCAGAAAAAATCAAGAGTGCTGGTTTTGAATTATTCCATTATCTGTTTCTATAACCCTGGATCAATAATTCAAGATCCAAAGTCTTTACAGTGGCCTCCCGGGTCCTGAATGATGTGGCTGCAGTAATTCTGTGAACTTTCCTTTTGCTCTTGTCCTCATTCGCTTGGCTCTAGTCTTAGTAGCTTCCTGACTATTCCTCGAACTTGCCAAATCCTTCTGCACTTTCCTCTGCCTAGATCATACTTACTCCAGGCATTTTCACTTTCTTCAGTTCTTTGATCTAAAGTAACCTTATCCATGAGGCTTTCCTTGACCATTTAATGAAAAATTGATTCCATCCACAAGAACTTCTGTCTCTCTTAAGCTCCTTTAATTTTCCTCAAGCCTTTCCAAGTATCTTGACCAAATTTGTATTCATTTATTTGTTTATTTTCTCATCCTCCTTGCTAGAATATAAACTCTAAGTGCACAGGCTTTGTCTGTTTTGCCTATAGTATAATCCCCAGATCCTAGAACAATGCGTGGCCCATAGCAGACATGCAGTAAATAGTTGCTGCACGAAGGAAGTCATTCAGCAACCACTTAGTGACCTCTTTGTGCAAGCATCCTACTGCGGGGGGTGCCTGGGTGGCTCAGGCAGTTAAGCTTCTGCTTTCGGCTCAGGTCATGATCCCAGGGTCCTTGGATCGAGTCCCACATCAGGCTCCCTCCTCAGCGGAAAGCCAGCTTCTCCCTCTCCCTCTCTGCCAACTTGCGCGCTCTCTCTCTCTCTCTCTCACAGATACATAAAATCTTAAAAAAAAAAAAAAGCATCATACTATGGATGGACAGAGATACAATGCTGAATAAGTCAGGGGTCTTCCCCCTTGTGAAGATAAATTCTTAGGTACAAATTACTTATAGTCTGGTAAATCTGTACATTATTTAACTTCTCTTTACCTATTGTTCATTAATGAAGGGTTAATGCTACTCACTAAGGTTTCTTTCAGTTATACAATTTTTTTAATATTACTATTCTAAGGTCAAGTTAGAGTCCAGATCCTCCTTAATCTACCTCCATTTCACTATTCTTGCTTATTTATCTCTAAAGCCTCTTTTATACACAGCAACCTCTATTCCTAAGAGTATGCCCTCAAAATTATCAACCCTGATCTTGCATAAAAATTCTTCCTTTTACCGAGATCATTCTCTTTGCTCATCTTTGTCTGTCTGAATTGTTGTCTACTTTCAAAGGAGATCCAAATCCCTCTTATCTTGACTTTACTAAGTCAACTTACAGTGATTACAAAAAGAACTTGCTGATTAGTTTATTCAATTTCATGTACAGTGAAGAAACAAACTGAGAACTAGACACATTACTTCTTAAAGTCTCTTGCTCGTTGATGACAAATTTTGCATGTGTCCCCAGGCTTCCAACTCAGAAATCTTTTGTCTAGACCCAAATATCATGTATTCCTTTGTACTGTTGTCTTGGTCTATTCAGGCTGCTGTAAGAGGATACCACAGACGAGGTGACTTATACACAACCAAAATGCATTTCTCACAGTTCTAGAAAATGTGGAGTTCAAGATCACTTCACTGGCAGCTTAGTTGCGTGGTGAGGCCCTACTGCCTGGTTTATAGGAAGGCCATCTTCCTGCTATGTCCTCACAGGACCCTAATCTGGAGTCTCATTATAAAGGTTCTAATCTCATTCATGAGGGCAGAGCCCTCATGACCTGTTGATGCCCCAAAGGTCCTACCTCCAAATACCATACATCAGGGATTGGGTTTCAACATATGAATTTGGGGGGAATACAAACATTCAGTCTGTAGCAACTGTTAGCTATCATTTTCTTTATAATGCCAAGTAAACACAAATTAGGTGAAATATGTTTTATGTTGGAAGATACAAGGCTTTTTGACTTAATAATGATAACTCTCAGGGCTTTCAAAACTTTTTCTTTTCAGAGTATCTGATCCTTTTGTACTATTTTCTGAAAGAGATCTTGGGTCTTCCCCCTTGTGAAGATAAATTCTTAGGTACAAATTATTTACAGTCTCTGTTTATATCACAAATTAGAGTACTGTAATATCTTCTACAAAAAAATATTCACACAGCCTTATGTATATGTATGGATAGGTCTATGTTTCATCTCTGTTTTTCTAAATGCAAAAGTGAGCACAATAGAGATACTTCTTAATCTATGCATTTTTCACTTAATACATTTTTTGGAGATTTCTTTCATATTATTCCTTGTTTTATGTAATGCTTGCAGAGTATTCCATTATACAGACTATAGTAATTTAGTTAACTAGGACCTAGGTATCTCTTGATAGATTCTTTAGGTATTTTCATTGTTTGGTTTTGCTATTCCTAATAAGTGTAATGAATGGAATATATATATATATGCACATGTATATATTTATAAATTTTATGTACACACACTACATAAATAGTTTTTCATAAATTTATGGGCCATTTATTCTTTTTTGTGAACTACATGTTCCTATTTTTGGTTGATTTTTGTATTGATGCAATCATTCTTTCCTTTTAAATTTGTATGGGCTCTTTGTAAATTGAAGGTATTAGCTCTGTGTCGAGTGTTGTAAATATGTTTTGCCAGTTGTCATTGGTATTCACTTCTTTGAGATTTAAGACAACTCATGAAAGTAAGGCTATGAAAGCTACTCAAAATTAAGTGGATATCTGAGGCAATTATTCAGCAGAGTCTACCCAAGAAAAAAATGCTCAATCACTTTAATATTTCAAAAGGAAATGTTAATTTGGCTTATTTTTTAGGAAATAAAATAGCTGGCATAGCAAAATAATCTTTTATCTGGAGTGCAATGGCATAAATAATATTGAATAGCTTCTGCAACACAGTTCATATATAATTTTAGACATGTTGTAGGTGTCACAGGGAACTTTTTCTTTTCTCAGTTCCTGGTCATCTCTTGAAAATAGTTGTTTCTGGTCATAGGGACATGTATTGTGTCTCCTCTGTGTCGCTATGTCATTAATAATTCTAACATAATTTAAAGTAAAAGAAAATTAATCTTGAGAATTAAATATTTAGGAGAGAATAGTAGTGATAATTATGTTGACAAAGACAGTCATTTAGGACACACAAACAAGTACCAACCAGTGGGAGAATGCTCCCTTCTTCCCCAGCATTGAGAGGGGTCTGCCTAATAATCTCCTACCTCTCTCTTCATTGTTCCCACCACTTGCTTGAAGTATCACAGTTCTTTTTTTTTTTTTTAGGATTTTATTTATTTGTCAGAGAGATAGAGAGAGAGATTGAGCACAAGCAGGGATCCAGCAGGCAGAGGGAGAAGCAGGCTTCCCACTGAGCAAGGAGCCCGATGCGGGACTCGATCTAGGACCCTGGGATCATGACCTGAGCTGAAGGCAGATGCTTAACTGACTGAGCCACCCAGGCGTCCCTCTTTTTTTTTTTTTATTAAAGATTTTATTTATTTGAGAGAGCATGCACGCAAGCACCCAAGTGGGGGGAGGGGCAGAGGGAGAGAGAGAGAGAGAGAATCCCAAGCAGACACCCCACTGAGTGGGGAGCTCATTGCAGGGCTTGATCCCAGGACTCTGAGATCATGACTAGAAACTAAGTCAGATGCTTAACTGACTGAACAACCCAGGTGCCCCAAAATGTCACAGTTCTTATTGAAAAAAATTCAGTTGCACGGTCCCCCTTTCTGGTCATTGGTGGAAATTTGAAATATCCCCTTTCTTATACAGTTTTTTACATATGAAAAATATTTACATCATCATTTCCATTTTCACACTTTCTGGCTTGGATTACACAGTTAGTAAATATGGTCAGGGTTGCATGTGAGCTCACCTCAGACACTTTTCTTCTTTTAAATCATGTTTATTGGTGGCATAGTGGTTTCCATTTTAATTTCTTTCTACTTGTAGTTTAACATAATTCTTCTTCCCATTTATTTGCTACATATGGAGGTACCATTTAAAATGGTTTCTGGAAAGCATTATTTATACACAGATGTTGCTATATAAACACATACAAAATCTTTTATCTACAATGCAATAACATAAATAATATTCAATAGCTTCTACCACCCAAGAATTCATTGAGAACACATAAATATGTGTTCTAAATAGAAGTGGAATACTTTTTTCATTCCTATCAATCATCTATTTACTTATCTGCACAAATAGATACACATAGATTACAACACAAAACAATAGAGGTACCTAGAGTGTACGTGTGTGTGTTTATGTATATAGTTGTAGGTATGTGCACGCATGCACACACGCGTGTGTGGGTGTGTGTACACAGAGAGACACAGAGAATTTCACTTCTGTTTGGTACATTTTTTTATCATTGAAAATATATTCAAAGCACAGTATTAGAGAAAATATGATGTTTAAAAATAGAGAGCATCTGGAACAAATCTCATAGATTTTTCTATGGAGAATTGACGAGGTAAAAACAAAAACAGAAACAAAGCAACTTTCCATTACCTATAGCCAAGGTGTAAGCACTTCTCCTGGGGGACTCTGGGTTGAGTGAGAAGTCACATGGTGCAGATGTTAGGAGGGTGGGCTCCTGATGCCTGGTGATTGGGTTCACTAGCTGTGTCTCATTAGCAGTGACATAACTATCCTATGTCTTTTTAGACTCACTTACAATATATGGCTGATAATTATCTCCATCCCTTAGGGTGTTGTGAGGATGGAATGAGTTAATACATGTAAAGTTCTCTGAAATGTTTGGCATGCAGTAAATGCTGAATATCTGGTTGTATTATTACTGTTATTATCCCATCTTAAGCCTGTAGAGAAGAGACTTTTTCCACACCTTCCTCACATGCAGCA